TATACGGACATGTGTTTTTGAAAATTTTTATAGCATTTAAAAAATGGAGGATATACTAGTAGAAAGTATAGTGTTGTAGAATATATTTTATAGAGATCTATATGTATGTACAATAACAATGATGAACATGAGACTATAGCTTCTATACATAAAGTGTAAATGTTTATAAAGTAGATCTATGTATAATTGTATACAATATACGTAGAGTGTGAATGTCAAATGTGATTATATTTAATTGAAATAATCAACATCTCCAGCTGTTTATTGAAATTTATTTAATTCGGTTATTGTTTCCAAAACTATAGTGTGTATGTATAGCGGTTGTATAAGTGAACTAACAATAAATGTATATAAGATATGTATATGCATATTATTAGGTATGTATATGATGTTGAGATATAAATTTAAAGTTACGGTTATATGGTTAAACATAATAGCTACCTATGTTACCTATATAATATTATAATAAACCTATAGAAAATGTTGATATTTTTAAAATTATTTACAGGATGTTTAAATATAAATGATATTTAAAAAAATTAAAATTGTCAAGCTTGATAATACGGTGAGTACACGAAAAAGCTTAAAAATTCGTGTAATATGCAATTTTTTCTTAATTTAATGTAATTAAAAATATTTGAGATAGAAAAGAATATTTTATTTTCCGTATCCAGAAAAATTTCTTCTAATTCGGGTAGTTTTAAAAAAGTTAGAAAATTCCTGCAAGAAAAACTTGTTAAAATATTGTTTTTGCAAGGTTTCATTTTGCGGATTCAAGAAACTGTTCTGTATTATTTAGAGTCCATAATTGTCAGATTATTCGATAATTTTATTTATGTATCATTATTATAGCATTATTATAGTAAACATCCTGTTTGTACAACCCTAATACGATTAATATATTAATACATATATGCAACATATTAAACATACACATGTTAATAAATTTTATACAAACGCATATATGCCGCATATATTCGGAATACACAGAAAACATATGAAAATAAATTTGTGGTATGGATTGTGATGGGTTCGGTAATGTGGTTTTTTCTCATATATAAACTATATTCATATAATATTATTACTATAATAATGCTATGTTCAGACATAGGTATTTTGAGAGCCCAATTGGAAAACGTAAAATATAAAAATAAAATAAACTACAACACAAAAAAATATTTAACAAAAAAAAAAAAAACCGAAACATATGAGCAAATAAAATGCGAATAATAAATTGAAAATTGATGAAAACAGGTGTCAGGACCTTTTAAATAAAAACAAAAAAAAAAGGAAATATTTTTAATTTGAAAAAAATTTCGGAATTTTTTTTTTTTTGGTATTCCATAATATTTTTACTACTTTTCAATAGATATTAGAAAAAAAAGGAACTAGAAAAAAATGTAGCCAAAATTTTTTTCTTTATATTTTCTTGTTATTTAGCCAATATTTTGTATTGGTTTGTCTATAGATTTGAAATTTTTATATGTTGTTGACCATTATTAATATATTTAAAATGGTATCACAAGAGAATTTTCGTGACAGAGTGTATCCTATTAATTTAATTCTCATTATTCGTAGATTGTTATTAAACACAGAGAAGGTCGCGGTTAAAAAAGGGTTAAAATTTTTAATTAATTCAAAAGTAATTTTAAATTTATTTTAATCAATTAATATCGTATGTTAATTTAACAGTTTGGGACTTACTAAAAACGCATTCAATATAACAACACGAGAAGGCTATTTTAACCGAATAATCATTATTATAACTTCATAACCGTGTATCTATGTATAACACATCTCTCTGTTGTATAACGCTTCTAAAATATAATGTACATAATAGTTTTTATATTATTAAAAGCTTGAAATTCTAATCGGCTTTCGACCTATAAAAATTGCACAAATAACTTCTCCGGATGAATTAGAATTGCTCTATTCCTGAAAAATAACGCACTGGAAATTAAATAAATCAACTAGAAATTTTGAATAATTTATAAGCTACTACATTTTCAACTATAATGGAAAATTTAATAACATTTGTTAAAACTTAGAAGACCATATTTTTGATCTCAATATCCTAATATCATTGATTTCGATAAGTTATTTCTGAACACTCTAACAATATTATACAACATAGCCTGAAAGCATTTATTTTTTTAGATACTAACTATCGGTTTAAATATATCACTATATTTTATATACGCACAGGCATACCTACCTATATGTATTTATATTTATACATGTTTATTTAAAATAATCCTTCAAGGATTATCCGATTGTGAGACGAATTTTTTATTCATTTTGAACAAAACTTTGACAATACAAGTACCAATGTACAAAAGGTGGAATTATTTTTTCTCCTTCCATTCAGTTTTTCTTATATTTTTTTTTTTCCTAATTTTAATAATATGAATTCGGGATCAGAATTTTAATATATTGAAAAAATAAAATATATATATATACATGTACATATTGTATGTGCATGTTTGACATCTTCATTCTTGAAAAATAGGAACTTTAGAATTATTATACGTCCATATAATACGTGTGAGATTTTTGAATTAATTTTTAACACCATCAACACTGATGTCATATAGTATAAATACTATATAGGCTGGTATTTTCGAATTACAGTATGAGAGTAGTTTTCAACTCACGATTTTCTCGATAATTTTAATTAAAAAGCATTCATACAATACTCGAAAAATTTTCGAGAGAGAGAGAAAGAAAAGAAATAGAGAATTCAAAATTTAATTTGTGTGCACTGGAAAATGTTAATTATTGTGAATTATTCAAAAACTAATAATGATTGTTAATATTATTTGTGATACACGTAGACACGAATTAAAGGAGACATACAGCGAATTAAAGAAAAATTTAATTATCAAATTTTGCTAGAGAATTTTTGAATTAAATAATTAAATTTCAAAATGAAACAAACGTGTTGAATTTATAACAAAACAAAAATTGTTTTCATTTTCCAATTTGTTGAAGATAATGAGCTCAAATTTTTCGGTTTTAGTGAAATGTTGATTTCTTGACGCGAAAACTATTAATAAACAATAAAACCATTTCGGTTTCATAAATTTTTTCATTGAATTTACCTGATAATTTTTTGTTTTTCCAAATAATATTCCAAACAATCACTATAATAGGTCGGGATATTAATTTATGACTAATTAATTAGTAGGTATTCTACAATAAAAGTTTTATTGTTCTACTCTTCTTTTCATAAAAAAAAATTAAAAATATATTCATTCATGAATTTTACCTATAATAATATTGAAAATGATGAATCAAATTATTGTTACACAAGAATTTTTTTACTTTTTTAACACTATTTTTATAAATGTCAATACCAAGGAAAACGCCTCTATGTTTTCATAAAAAAAATTAATTTTAATCCAAAAATTACAATAACTCCCTCGTATCTGTATATTGAATGACGTATTATGTAATATTTGCAATAATTTTCAATAATAAATATTAAGTAATATAACACCAACATAATCATGTTATTCTTCAAGGTCTATTAAGTTTTTTAGTTGGAAAAAAATTTCTATTTCTAGTATATTACAAAAAATTTCTTTATATTTAAAGGCATTTTTCAGAATTTTCTTCTTTTATCTGAAATAAATTAATGAATTTATGATAAAATTAAATTGGATGTATTAAATTAATTAAAATTATTATTGTACAGTTATATTTGGATTCACCTACTAAATAAAATGTTTTCTTTAATAATTAACGCATAATTTGCTACATTTACAATTCATAATTTTCAGAATTACATTAAATTTCATTACTCATAAATTTTTTATAATAATTTTAAAAATAAATCAAAAATAGTAGAAATTTAGTTAAAATAAAAAAAGGTTTTCTTAGTATTTAATTATTTTTAATAAAAATTATTAAAAGTCATATAGGAAATTATAGAGAATTATTCGGAAAAGTAATGATTACTTAAATTTATTTTAAATATTGCTTTAAAAGGTTGTATTTAAAATAATTGTTTTAAAGTTCGAAATTTGGAAAAACAATTGTCTCGTTAAAATAAAATCAAATGTTTGGTATTGAATTCAGGAAAAATTATAAATTATAATTCGAAAATCGAATTTTATGAATTTTTTTTCCAAAATCTAGGGTTTAATAATAGAATTTTTTTTTAAAAATTTATTTACAAATTCGATTCTTATATTTTATATATCAAGCTTTATTATAAATTTTGAGAACAAATCAAGAATGAAAGAGAATTCTCGATTTATTAAAAAATATTTCATTTAGGTATGAATTCATATATACTGATGGATTAGATTTAGTAAATGAGATTTTTAAATAAAATCAGAAATTAAATATATTAATGTACTAATAACTATAGTATGTGCAAAATATACTATCTAAATGAAGTAGTACTAGAAACAAATTTATCTAGATCAAAAAAGATTTAATTTGATCCATTAATTGCGTCGAAGTCGTTACGAAAGACGTTAGGTAATTTTGAGTTATTTCAAATATTTTGTTTTGTTCATCAGATTTTATTGGCAGTATACTGAATTAAGACAAAGATGAAAATATGAGTTCATTTGGCTATGTTTTATGGGTAAATAATGGCTCTGCAAACCTAGATTTCTAATTATTTGAATTTATTACAGGGTGTTGAATATTTGTCATATAAGTTGTTTTTTGAAACAGTATATCATTGTTTGTGTTGGTAATTAATTCTTTTATAAATTGCCTTTCTATGTTTTTACTAGCTATAATATTATATTTTTTATTTTAAATATACCTAATTTTACTAATTTTTTTCTTGTGAGATTTGTGAAATGTAATTTATGAATCGTAAAATTTCGTTTAATATTCGTTTATCATATTTCTTAAATTAAATTATTCAAATATCAAAAAATAATAGATAATTTATTATTAATAAATAATAATCGAATAATATTAGTAAAAAACCGAATAATAGAAATTAAAAATTAAAAAAAAATTAAAATGGTACTTACAATGAAAATTATGAATTTTGATGAAACCATGTTTGCTCTCTTTTTCTTATTTTTTTTTTATTTTATTCTTTGACTTTTATTACCGGAGATCGCACCAATTTCAAAGAAATTTTGCACTTAAGAAAATTTTTTTTTTTCTTCTTTTTCGTTTTTTATTTTTGTAAAGTGAAATATTTTGTATTTGACACCTTTGTATTTTTGTATACTTAAAAAAAGTACTCAATGTTTTTCTCTATAAAAAATATAGAAATTAAAAAAAAAATTTTTTTTTTTTTTGGCAAAGAAAGAGACAAAAATAATTAAGGATGAAAAAAGAGAATAGGTCAAAAATTCTAAAAAAAAAAAATTCAAAATAAATGCCTTTGTGCAAATAAAATAGCCTTATATAAATAAAGAAAAAAAAATTCTCAGAAATAAAGGAAAAAATAGAAAATTTATGTTTTCTTTCTCTTTCACTTCTATAAAAAAAAAAAAATTTTTTTTTTCTTTAATTTTTCAATTTAATTTTTATTTTTTGTGCCGTTATTATGATTATCCTTGATTTAGTCATATTTATCTTAGTTTACGCATACAAGCGTACACAAGATCTCTTCAAAAAAATTCTTTTGAAATGAAAAAAAAAAAAATTAACGTCACAATGTCATCTTTGTAAGTATTTTATAAACATACAAAAAAAACAAAACATAAAATAGCAAAAATTGTTTGAGAACCACTTGTATTTTTTTTTCTATATTCAAGAATTCATATGAAAATAATAAATAAAATTCCTTAAATTGAAAAGGACGTTTTTCTTTTTTGCTTATTTTTTTTTTTTCAAATATTTTTTATATTATTTTATTTGTGATTCGATTTGATTGAAATATTGTCCACTTAAGTCCTTATTTATTTTCTATAAGAGTTTCATTTTTCTTATTTCTTTTCTATATTTTATTATTATGCTTATGACACAATTGATTCTGACACAATCACAAGGATAAACACAAAAAAAAAAAAATATAGCAAAAAAAGTGTAATAAAAATCACTAAGAACCAGAAAAAAAAAATTAAATCACTTTTTGGTCGGTTGATTGGTTGGCTGCTTGGATGGTTGGTTGGTTGGTGTTGAATGAAAATAATCGCGATAAGTAAATATTAAAAAAAATTAAAAAAAAAACTTCAATAATAAAAGTAATAGAGAGAAAAAAAAAGTAAGCAACAAACGTGATCTTAACGGTAATCCAATAGATAAACGAATAAAGGATTCAATCAATCTGAACTCTTTTTATATCAAAATACAAAAAAAAAAATTAATTTTTTTTCTCCTTCTTTTTTTTTTGTCTTTCTTTTTCTTATTGTTAAGTTTTTCTATGCTAGCTATAAAAAATATTTTCTTCTATGTTTACTACACACTTAAAAATTTTTTAATATTTTATTGTATACATTAAATGTGCATGTATATGTTATGCTAAAGATTTTTACAATTACAGTTAGTATAATTTTTTTCTAAAATTTCAATTAAATTCATGAATATTGGTTTGATTATACTCGTAATAACGATGATCATGTTAATATTTCGTTGTTTATGTTGCTGTCATACTGTGATCATATTTTTGTATTGATGATAGTAATTGTTGCGATACTGACTACCGTAATAGTAAATATGATAATAATGATAATTGTATGTACAACGATAATGGCAATTTTGTTGATATTTTGGATATTTTGTAATTTTGTAGATCTATATAGATTTGTGATATTAACTATGGAGTTGAGATGACAGTCCATCACGATAAAATCTATTGTACGACACATGAAGTCCATTAAATCTACGTTATTTCAACGTAAAAAACTCAATGCGTTGAAAAATGTATAAAAAATTTAAGTGTTATGAATATAAAATAAGCGAGGTAGAAAAATAATAATATTGATAATACTGTTAACGATGATAATTACTGTTATTATTTCGATTGTGGTGAATATAATATTAAATTTTTTTTTTCTCTCTTTATAACTTATAACAAATGGAATTCATTACTTGTAATTCTTATACAGTACATACATTTAAAATACATTTAACAAAAAGCATGCAAAACCATGCTAGTGTTTGTTTATGCCATGCTAGTAGCATAAATGTTGTTACTTACTTATAACTATTGCCATGTTTTGTATTTCAAATATCATGCAAATAGGAATATTGCACTCGTAATTTACATTATTTATGCTGGTAATTACTAGTATTAAACAAAATTTTGCGATGAATACGAATACAATTAAAAAATTGAAGAGTAGTTTTAATAGTAATTGTTATTTGTATAGCATTGTTACTTATGTGTTATTTATACAAATACTATTATGCGCTAGGTATAATGTAATGTTTTTGATTACAGTTTTAAGAATTTTTTAAATGATCTTAAAAAATATTATGAATTTTGTGCATGTGTGATATTTGCGAAAAAGCAGACTAAATTTATTAATGTTTATTGTAGTCTTATGCATTCTAGTAGAAGTGAATAAAATTGAAATGAAGAAGCTCCTATAATACAAGAATATTGTTGTTACAATGCAAATTGTGAATTCTATTTACATTTACAAAAATTGAATGACATTTTGTTTCTATCTGTCAATGTATATGTGATGGGCACGTTATTAAAGTTTATTTTGCATAAACGTATATATATAGAGTATACAATAAATGTTATGAATGCAGAATTTTTTGTCTTATATTGTTTAGCTTTTAGTATATTTAAAAAAATAAAAAGAGTAAGACGAGAAACTTGAACAAAACAAGAAGACCGTTTAATTTTTTATGCAATAATTCTATTGTAACGGTTTTAATAGAGTACAACATAAAAAATATTAAGCTTTTGTTTTAATTTTTTCTTGTGAATTTTTTTTTATTTCATTTGTACTTACCACTAAATTTGAATTCATTTTATAAAACATTGGTTTGCAAAATGCTTGGAAATCATTATAGAATTTACATAAGTTAATATGCAAGAGGAGATTGCAATTTTATTTGTGCTTGAATTGTGTTAGAAATATTTAAATGTTGTTTTTTTTTTGGTTAGGTTTGTAATTTTAAATTCGAATCGTATATAAGCATATAAAAAATTAATAATAAAAGTATGTTCAAAAAAAGATGCAGAAGAATTAAAAAGCCTTAAAAAATAAATTTATTAGATCGATTCAAATTATTTAAAATTGTCTGAGGAATTTGGAATTAGTTTACAGCGGGAAAAGGTTTTAATTGCTTGAATACTTGTATTTGGGCAAACGCATTAAAATGAAAGTGGAATAAGTCGCTTTAGAGAGGAGAGAAATTTAAAACATAGTTTTATTCGTTGCCTCTACTTGGATTACCTAATTAAATTACACTAAGTCCTCGAGATACGATATTTTCTAATACGACATTTCCAGTTACGACATTATATAAACTTGAACCATTTTTATTCGGTTTGCGACATTTTTTCCCATACGATATCAAAAATTTTCAAATTTACGACATAAATTTCTGGAACCAAATATGTCGCTTAGTGTACTGTTTTACATATACCTGGCGGAATAATTCAATTTTAAAAGTTAATTGTGTTAAATATAAAGTTATCATTATTTGGAAAAACGAATTGGAATTAGAAATAAGTCACGTTAGCGCCACGTTTATTACGGCATTTTGTGAAAATTTATGTTTTGTGAGGAATTTAATCCAGTATTCAAAAGAACTGAAAAAAGTTTGTTATTCAAATAATATTATTTATTTTAAAGAATTCAATTGAAATTTTATTTTTGTTTTCAATTATTTAATCTTTTAACCTTATTTTCGCATATAATTGGATCACAGTTACTACGATTTACCTATCAAAATTATTAGAAATCAAAAATTTATTTTAAACATCTTAAAGAGATTACACAATTATTTTGTTTTTTGAAATTTCATTAATTATTTTTGTATTGATTTTCCTTATTTTAAACTAAGCTATACTTTAAATTAAATAGTTTAAATAAAGAGTCAAAATTCATTATAATTTAATATTGATAAGTTCAAGAACTGTAACGGTATTATATGTCTGGGCACATTATTATGACGTGTATATTTGACTTTTTGAAATTTTACGCCACCTATACATATTTGTATACAATTTCGCAAAATATGTAACATTTTTTATTTTATTATTTTTCAATATAAGCTGATGTAATTAAGATATAAAATTCCATTAATATTATTACATTAACATTGGTAAAAATGTAATTGGATTAAATTAATAACCTTATAGTGAACTTATAGTTCATTATTATTAAAATCAATGAATAATTTTTGTGATACACGTATGTAAGTATATAACTACAGAATATGTATATTTTGTATACATGCAAAATATATTTTTGAATAAATGATTTAGAGAAAAATTTAACCATGATAAATTTTATTACGATAAGTAAAAGTTCAATGATTGTCTGTATAGAATTAATATTACAAAGTTCACTTTAGTTCAATTTTCCGAAAACAGTTTTTTTTTTTTAAATTAATCTAATTTAAGTTGAAATTATTTTCTATTTAATAATATTTTTAATAAACATTGTCAGATTGATTTTGAAATCTGATTATATTTCAAATTTTTGATTCCGTATGTACATAACATATTGAAAGCTGAAAATTGAAAATTTAATGTGTATGCAGAACAGTAACCATGGTTAATTTTGAGATTTTCATTATGCTAATAAAATATTTTTGCGAAATACATATTATGTATGTATGTATGTATTAAATTTGAATAAATTATTAAATTCGATATCGGGTTCGGGTGCGGATTCGAGTTCAGTTTCCTAATAACGGATTTGATTTTGTATGCTAATTCAGGTTCGAGTTCATGTTCGGGCTTCAGCACCGACTCGAATTTATGAGAAAATTACGAGGATTCGATATCATGTCTCAAAAATTTGGAGTTTCAGATTTTGATTCGAATTCTGTGTCATTTCTCTTATTCGTACATACATATACACATACATATGTATGTTCATATAACAAGTAATATCCGCATATTGATTTATTATATGTTAAATTCTTCAAAGTTCACCATTTAAATATTTTGTAGATTGCTGTCAAAATGACACTTAATCCGTTCAAAAATTTCTTCAAAATTTCAGTTGTTTCACACTTAAAAATTCATATCTGTTTCTTGTGTAGGTACTCCAAGTGTCTCTTTTGCATATATACATATATGTAGGTATATAGGTGCCTTATATAGTTTTGTGTATTTCTTATAAATGAATTGTTGTAAATCACTTTTTAAAAAGCAAAAGTAATTTAAAAAAATTACAAACAAGAAATTTGAACATAATTTACAAGTACTTAACAGAATATATTAACGGTATAAAATATATAAGTGGAATAATAGCAAGAAATAACATTCATAAATTAAAGGCACACACAATATAACGTGAGATGCTCTGAAATGAAAGGAAAAGTCAAAATCATCATCACAGTAAAAAACACCAACAAAAAAAAAAGTTAATAAAAATAAAACTTAACAAGTAAAAACGTTTCAGTCGGTATGAACCGATTGAATTATACCCTGCACCTTTTTTCATTGTTGTATAGCAATTACTCAAACCTGTGAAACCATTCTATAGAAACTTCACGGATATGTCTGACCTATAACTGAACACACAACTACCAAGTTTCATGAATCTGACTTTATTTTTTTTCCAAATATTTAAAATTAGCTTTTGGAGTTGTATGGCAGGTACCCGAACCTGCCAAGTAATTCCACTAAAACTTCGCTAATATATCTGATCTATAATTGGACACACAACTGCCAAGTTTCATGAATCTAGCTTTATTACTTTTCCAAATATTTAAAATAAGGTTTTGGACTTGTATGGGAGCCACTCGAACCTGTCAAGCAATTCCACCAAAACTTCAGACAAATCTTTGACGTATAATTGGACACACCACTGCCAAGTTTTATGAATCTGTCTTTATTATTTTTCCAAATATTTAAAATTAGCTTTTGGAGTTGTATGGCAGGTAACCGAACCTGCCAAGCAATTCCACTAAAACTTCGCAAATATATCTGATCTTTAATTGGACACACAACTGCTAAGTTTCATGAATTTTACTTTATTATTTTTCCAAATATTTAAAATTAGCTTTTGGAGTTGTATGGCAGGTACCCGAACCTGTCAAGCAATTCCACTAAAACTTCGCAGGTATATCTGATCAATAATTGGACACACAAC